AGTATTCGTGTGCCCGTCGACACCGGGCCGCTGACCTTCGGGTACAGTTTCTCTACACTGACATTAAAGCCCTGTGTGTAGAGTCGGCCCAAACCGGTCAATAGTTGGTCGCAATTGTCGGCCATTCGTCTCATTAGAGGAATGTATGTATAATTCGGGTTCAAATTCGCGATCTCTTCGGCCATCAACGAGTCGGGAGACAACTCGACGATCACAGACCCGTTGGTCACACCATTGGTGAACGTTGTCTTCAACATCACCGGCAATAGTAGGCTATCGACAAAGTATTTGCCGCTAATGTATTCACACTTATTATTATCGTTGATATTAGAGACCCATTTGGAGGACAACTTCTGTCGCTGGGAACCGATCACCGAATCCAACGCCCGAAGCAGTGTCTCGACGCAAGAGTTCACGTCCGGCGAACCAGTGGTCAGCACTTCTTCGCAATACTGATCCAAACAGTGGCCCATATTGTCGGCCATCAGATCGTTGAACTTCCTCTTCAGGCCCTTCTTGTCGGCGATTTTGTCGATAAATTTCCCGCAATAATAGGCCACAAGAAGCGCTTCCCTAGCGGTGAGACAGCCGTCCGCATACGCGCACACTATCTCACCGGTAGAGTAGCCAACGATACGGTCGGCCTCCAGACCCAAGTGCCGCAACTGATCCGTCAGTGCCATCTGAATGGCCACCACTGAGAGCATTGAATTCAACGCCGATTTATTAATATCCGCCTTCGCGTCGGTCAACAGAGCCAACAGATCCACGCCTTTGTCACGCAATACGATCGCCGACTTGCGGATAGAGTTTGAGACGATATCAAAGGCCATCAATTTCTTGGCCATCGCCGGCCATTGGGAGCCGATTCCCGTGTATACAAAACAGAGAGGCGGCCGTGTTTTGGCCACTTTATCGATCAGTACCGGTGTGTAGGTTAGGCCAGAATCAGCGCCCGGTGTGCCACTAACCAGCGTAAAGCCTCTGTACCTCATCGGCCGACACCCGGTGCCCGTCGGCTCGTATGGCCTACTCTTTGACAACTCATTAATCAAATGCAGTAAATCTCTAGTGATTTTGTTTGGTCTGTCAAACAGTGTCCGAAAGAAATGGTCGACCGATTGGTCGCTGCGGCCGCACATCTGCACCAAACGTGGATACCTGTTGTCGTCCACTATGTGGTCATTGCCCGCCTGTGCCTTAATCTTAGGCGACCTGAGTATGAGGTGTGTGTTAGAGCCGCCGAAACCAAAGTTGTTGAGTCCGACCAAATCGCCCGCAAACACCGTATTCTCATTGATGGGCACAATATGGCCGTCGATTAGCGGCCGGATTTTCGGGTTAGCTTTGCGGAAGTGGAGGTTCGCTGGGATTAACTCGTTCTCAAACGCGAGGATCACTTTAGTGACAGCGCACAGACCCGACGCCCCCTCCGTGTGGCCGATGTTGGACTTGAGGGCTCCGATCATTAATGGCTTGTCTCGTTTACCTACCAATTAAAAACACGATTAATTGATTGTAAACATGTATTTAAAACTATGGTAAATATAAAAGCTACTTGAACATACTGTACATGTAAATTAGGTGTAAGTATTTAAAAGGTACTAGCAATTATGGTGATTGAATGCCACAAACCTGCGGCCATAGCCTCATAGATGGCCCGCATCTCTACGGGATCGCCGGCCTTAGTGCCGGTGCAATGGGCCTCCACGTAGTCAACTCGGGCCGGATCTACACCGCACTCGGCGTACGTATTGGCAATCACTGTCCGCTGTCTTTGCCAACTCGGAAACGTTATGCCCTCCGGCTTATAGCCGTCGTTATTGGACATGATATTAACGATAGTGGCGTACACTCGCTGGGCTCGGGGCCGGCGCTGCACCAACACCGTGACCGCCGCCTCACCCTTGGCGTAGCCGTTGGCCCTCTCGTCCAGACACATGCACTTACTGTCGGGTGAGATCATATTGAGTTTGAAAAAGTTGTATTGAATGCCCGGATTGAACGATATGTTAACGCCGATGCATAGGGCGGCGTCGCATCGGCCGTATTTGATGGCCAGATAGGCCTCGTTTAGGGCCACAAAACTCGAGGCGCAGGCGCTGTCCGCCGAAAACGTGGGCCCATTGAGGTTGAATTTGTTGGCCACCGTTTGCGACATGAAGTTCTTATAGGCGGCCAATTGGGTGTAGTCTCGGTAGGCGAACAACTCTTCGTCCATATACTGGCCGATAAATACCCCGGTGTTTGTGCCGCTCAGCGACTCCGGGCGAGTGCCTGACAGTGGAGGGGGTGAGGGGTAAGTATGTGTTAGTTTTAAATAGTTGTTATAAGTTTGCAATTATAATTAATTAATTATTTGATGTATTAGTTGTAAAACTACTGCTACACTGACCGGAGTCTGCGATGGCCTCGTAGGTGGTCTCGAGCATAGCCCTGATCTGGGCGTCCATATAGTCGGCCTCCCAATCGGTGACAGTAAAAAAGTTTGCGTCAAACTTCTCGGCGTTTTTCAGTTTCCCGCTCGACATCGGACACCCGTTGAACACTATTCGTATGATTTGTTATAATATTTGTTGTGTTTAACATAGAGTTAAGTTAAATGAAACTTTTTTTGAATAGTTTAATAATGAGATAATAAAACTTATGTCTTACTCTTTGGGAACCGTCTCTCGTCATCTGTAATCATATCGATATGATTGTAGAGATTGTCACTGAACTCGTCCACTGAATCAGACTCTATGGTAAACATGAGATAATAGTTTTATTATTAATTTGTTTACTAATTATTAATTGTTGCCATTAATACCCGGATAACGACCAGAAACGCCAGATATAACAATCTCTTCACTTTCTGTTGTCTTCATTTTTGCCGGTATTTTGTGTGGATTTTCTTATGTTATTTCAAATGTTGTAAACTTTTAGCTAAAACTTAATATTAAAGAAAGTTTTAATGTTTTGACTAAAACATTGAAACTAAAGTGAAATAAAATGTCACAAAAAACTTTGACGTTTGTATCAAATTATTTTATAATAAGTATTAATAAATATTATTTCCGATATTATGATAACAGTAATAAATTATTATTATCTAGGTAATAATGATAATACAATTGAAACGGGTTTAGTATAAAAACCCCGCACAAAATTCAAGCAAATCCTATATTATAAGTAGTTTCAAATCAATTACAAGTTATTTCATGATAAGTCTAGTCGTCATTCAATACTTTGTATGCGAGTTATGAACGAAATGCTAACTAAAAACCCAAAAAATGTAATTTTATTTTTCAATGTTATATTATTTAAAAATACAGTTAAAATTTTTGATGAAAAATTTGCGATGCGTTCAGTAATTGAGTGAATGATTACTTGTTTTTTCGGTCATTTTGAAGGCAATGTAATTAACATATAATTTGGGAAAATATTTTTTGTATTTATTTAAAACATATTATTTTATGTTAAAAGTAGTGATGCGTGAGACATGTTAAATGTATGTGAATTGTATACTCTATATTAAACATTTAGAAATTTATTTATTATTAAGTAATTTAATTTTTAAATATTTTTAATTGATATCACAATATTTTAAAGTAGTTTTTTTAATTATAATGTTTTACAAAAGTAAATATAGTTTTGTAATTATTTTACTGATATATTTCTAGGTTTGAAATACTGATAAGAACTATTGAGAAATGTAACATAATTTTGTTTATAAATCAATGTAGTTAAAAATAATAATGTGACATATATTAATTATACAACTAATTTGCCATACTAGATATAATAAAAATATATTGTTAATTTATATATTAATATTATTTTCAAAAAGCGATTATTATAATAAGTTATAATTATAATAAGATATAATTTATAATATAATATAATAATTTATAATATAATAATAAGTTATAATTATAATAAGATATAATTTATAACTTGCACTCGTATTTAATAATAAACATGTAATTTACACGTAATGCATCTCGATTAGATAATCTGATATTCAAAATATAAAGCGAATGAATTTAGTAACTAATATATAAGTATAAACACTATTACAACAGTATTTATAAAACTCGTAATTATTCATTGGAAACAAATCCAAACAATTGAAACCAGTGTTAGAGTCGGTTAAGTGTTCAACAAATGTCTGATATTTCCATACATTTCTCACATTATTAGGCATTTTATGCATAAATCCATATAAATATTTACGACATTTACGTCCGGCTGTATTAATTCGCGAACACATTATATTAATGAGAAACATAGACGTGTATATAATAGTTATATTAATGACCATGGCCAGTTTGGCGTAAAAATTAGTCTTAGGGTCCATTATTAGGTAAATACAGAGCGACGCTAAGGGAGTGACCAAATAGTAGATTAAAAATATGATATAACTGTAAAATTCATTGATTTTATTGAGTAAATCTGAAATATAGTTGTGATCATTAATGGCTTTCGTAATATAGTCTGTGTTTTTTCGCAAACAATTCAATTTAATTGTTTCATTGATCTCATCGTATGAATACTTAATGTAATACATAGTTATGTAAGATGTAATAAATCCAATGTAAGTAATACTGTATACATCTGTGATAAATATAAAGCTTATGACAGACCAGAAGAGTATATACACGACATTAAAGCCTGAATTGTGATCAAAATAGGCTATAATTGTTGGAGTAATTAATCCAACGATCAAAAGGCCAACTGACGGCCAGTAGACATGTTTGAACACGTATTTCATTATTAAATTTGATTTTAATGCCAATCGTTTATAATCTAAGAGCTTTAGCGGACGGATTGTCTCGTATTTCATGGCATTTAAAAATGACATGAAATGCAATGTATTGTTATATTCTCGCCATTCAAACGATACCATTATTGAAAACATAATAAATGCCACAATACTTATCGGTAACGATACCAACGATTGAATACCGAGCAAATAGTTTGCATCGCATAGCAATACGTTTAGCCATTGTCTCCTCATTAGCCCGGATGTGATGTACCGGAAGAATGTCACCACAAATACCAGTTTCTTAGATAATATCCATAATATTCTTCTGGTGGTTGTGTTGCGGCGCTCGTAATCATCAAATGTGTTATATATAGTGAAGTAATAATCGGTGAAAAACATTTCTATACTAACGATCGCAGCACTCATTTGAGAGTTATTTTTCCGGAAATTATAGTACTTTTGTTGAAATGTTTGTCGTTTTGTTTTTCTGATTACATTCATGTTGTGTTGTGTTTAGCGATAGTTTTGCAAAATAAAAGTTGATAATTCACAATTTAGAGTAATAAATTAACAAATATTATTGATAATTTGAAAATAATTCGGTACTTGAACAATTGGTTACAGTTTCATGTATGTAAATACCAGGATTATTTTAACAAAAATATTACTATATTAGCGAATATTACACTAAATTCAAATCAATAAAACTAAATTACAAACACATAGTTAAAAAATATTTACAATTTAATTATCAAATTACGTGCGTATAATCACATAAAATTTATACATTTAACATAAGACAAAAATCACTATTAAAACAATTGATAATCAATAAAATTTAGCTACATCTTCATCATACTGTAACTATCAGTGTATTCAATGCCAGGGTTTTATAGTACAGTATAATTACTTATCAATATATCGATTGTTATTTAGTTTCATAAACCATAATATTTTTAATAATAAATAATTGCATAACACCATGTATTAATTACGGCATGTTCTTGAAGTTAATAAATTTGTATTATTATTATTCTTCTAATGACACACAAAGTACATAAATAACAAACGGTATCAGAATTAATGTCAACATTTAAAATACACTAATTTGCCCGTAAAATACAATCAGACCATTAGTATTATCGCGGATAAATAGAGGAACGGGTGGTCAGCGTTGAACACAATACGGTTGAGTGTCTTATATCGAGTTATTTGATTTAAATAATATTATGAGATACTTTTGGTTTAGTTTCTCCGATTTTAAATACATATTTCTATTCATATAATACATGCAATAATAATTTAATGTTATTTAATTCTATGTAATAAATGTTTGACTTACTGGAAAAATTGTCAGAATATACGATCCAATATTCTGTTTTGGCTAATATTAATGATTATATCTATAATAATGGATTTAATCAAATAATATTTATATAACGTTACTAATGTTACAATAAACAAAAAATATTTTACTTTTAAAAATGCTTATTTCAATAAATGTATAATTAAAAAAATTATATTTGGTTTAACAAAGCAAATAGGTCATATTGTCTTTTATTATTTATGTTTAACGAGAATTATTGATTGTAAAACAAATAGAAAATTAGAAAATAAAAATATTTTAATCAGTTTTGGACAATTAAAACAAATATGTTATATTTGTGCTATTAAGTGTCTAATTTATATTATTAAAACTTAAGATATATAACGCATGAATTTAGTAATCAAAATGTAAGTTAAAACCCAATTACAACAATATTTATAAAACTCGTAATTATTCATTGGAAACAAATCTAAACAATTGAAACCAATGTTAGAGTCGGTTAAGTGCTCGACAAACAACTGAAATGTCCAAACATTTCTCATTTTATTACATTTTTTAGTCATGAAATGATATAAATTGTTACGGCATTTACGGCACGCTGTACTGATCCGCGAACACATTATATTAATGAGAAACACAGATGTGTAAGAAATGGTTAAGTTTATAACGATGGCTATTTTGATTAATAAATTGGTTTTTGGGTTCAATAATAGTCGGACACAGAATGCCGATAAAGGAGTGACCAAATAGTAGATTAAAAATATTATATAACTGAAAAACTCATTAACTTTATTAAGTTTTTTTGATATATAGTTGTGTTCATAAATGGCTTTCGTAACTAATCTCGTATTATTTTGCCGACAATTTAATTTGATATCTTCATTGATCTCATCGTATGAATACTTGATGTAATACATTATGACATAAAATGTAATATATCCTAAATAAGCAATACTATAAGAATCGGTTATCATTATGAATGTTATGATAGACCAAAAGATTATGTAAAGCATATTAAAGCCTGAATTGGGTTCAAAATAGGCTACAATTGTTGGACCGATCATCACAGCGACCATAAGGCCAACCGAAGGCCAGTAGACATATTTCAACATATATTTCATTAACATATTTGATTGAAAGGCCAGTATTTTGTAGTGAAAAGCATTTAACGGACGAATTGTCTCGTATTTAATGGCATTTAGAAATGTAAAGAAATGCAATGTATTGTCATATTCTCGCCATTCAAACGATACCATTATTGCCAACAAAATGATTGATAGAAAACCTAATGTAAGCGATATTATTGATTGAAAACCAAACAAATAGTTTGCATCGCATAGCAATACGTTCAGCCATTGTCTCCTCATTAGCCCGGATGTCATGTATCGGAAGAATGTCACCACAAATATCAATCTCTTTAGTAAAATCCAAGTTATTCTTCGTGTGGATCTGTTCCGCTGCTCGTAATCATCAAATGTGTCATATATTGTGAAATAATAATCGGTGTAAAACTCCTCCATAACAACGATCGCAGCACTCATTTGAGAGTTATTTTTTCGGAAATTATAGTACTTTTGCCGAATTGTTTGTCCTTTTATTTTTCTGATTACATTCATGTTGTGTTGAGTTTTGCGATAGTTGTGCAAAATAAAAGTTGATAATATAATTCAATGGTAAT